CCCCCCCCCCCCCCCCCTTTCCATTCCCAAACCGTGTGTAGGATGTACTGGGCCCCCTATTCACATCCACCAACCGTAGGACCTCCCCCCTTACCCCCCCTGCCCCCGCTCTCCTACAATATTAGGTTCGTGTCGCTGGTGCCTAAGTTAGAGATCGCAGATGGGGACGACCAGAGCGAGACTGTGGTGTCCTGGCTCTTGATCGTGCTGAGCATGACGCTGTGGTTGATACCGGTCATGCAGTGTTTCTGGAAGGTGAGAAGTTACCACATGTCCGAAACGAACCCCAATCTGCCTCTGGCCTACCATGATACATATTTTTTTACCCTTTCCTAGCCACATCGGGGGGTGAGTGAGATTAAGCAACGACGACTCGCCAGGAACACGACTTTACTGTATGGGTATGGACGTTCAGAACCGTGTGCTGTTATGGATATTCTACACCGTGTGTACGGGTATGGGGATGGTTCGCGACCGTCGAAGCGATCGAATGTGTGCTTGAAGCTCCGCACAAGCGAAACGTTGGTTTACGCACGAAACAGCACTAACGTTTGTGCCGCGGCAGCAGTAAACGTCTTGGGAGCGCGAACGAACCCCGCATCTCTCGAGAAGCCAGAACACCAAGCGCGTGATCTAACTGTCGCTGTCGCCTATCCTCCTGCTCGAAGGTACGCTCGATTGACGCCGCCAGCGGCCGCCGGTGGGACTCGGGAGACACTTCTTCGATCGCCAACCTCATGGGCAACGGCGGCTTCTCCCGCAGGAGCAGTGGCGGGGCCGGGGAAGATAAATCCGACGACACAAGCAGCGGCTACAAGAACTTCTCCCCTGAAGACGATCACAACACCGGCCACCCGGCCGACTTCTACGACTTCACAAACGGCCACTTCGGAGGGAGCAGCGGCGGCGGCAAGAGCAACACCAACAATGTCAAAGGCGGACCGGTGTTCGGAAGTGGCGACGGGGGGGGTAAGCACCACGAGCATCACACCGGCGGTGCCGCCGCCGCCGCCGCCGCCGCTGCGGGGGGCGGGGGGGGCAAGTTGCGCGCGTGGGGTACGTCTCCTGGGGGCGCCGCAGATGGGCGCGCCTCGGGGTACGCCGACCCGGTAGTGCTTCGGTTCAACGACGGCATGAAAGGTGGCGATGGAGGCGGGGGAGGAGGCGGGGGCGGGGGGGCGACGGCCGCCGTTCAGTCCTCCGCGAGCAACCAGAGCCAGAGCAGCGGCAACACGTACGGCCCGCTCACCGCCGGCATGGGCGAGGAGACGAGCAGCAGCAACAAGTTCTCGGCGATAAACTACGCCGACGATGGCGTCGCCGACTCGCCTACCATGGCCGAGGAAATGTTTTCGAGACGCCTAGGTGGTGGTGGCCGCCAGCCACAGCCGCAGCCGCAGCAGCAGCAGCAGCAACAACAGCAGCTGACGACGACCGGGAGCGCGATGATGTACGCAACAACAGACTCGTCGACGATGGCCGAAGACATGTTCGCGAAGCGGCTCGGCGGTGGCGATGGCCGGGCGCCCAACGGAATCGGCGATGCCACGGCAGTGGCGGCGGCGGCGGCGGCGGCGGCGGCGGCGGCGACGGTGTCTTCGGGCATCGACGAGGACGGGGGTGAGGAGGCCGGAGGAGGAGGAGAAGGAGGAGGAGGAGGGAGATCGCTAAGGCTCAGCCCCGCGGAGCCCATGGCGAACGCGTTCCCGGCTCCCATGACGAACGCCTTTCCCGCCGCCATGGACACGCCCGAGAGCGAGCCTCCCGGCCGCGGGGGCGGCCCCAGGCGAGAATTCGACCACCGAAAGAAAGCTGCAGCACCCCTGTCCCCGAGCCCGGCTTCGTCCATGCACCTCCGAGGGCCGTCGCCTGCGGCGGTGGCCTCCGAGATGATGATGCCGATGACTTTCGTGGAGGGGGAGGACTCCGCAGCGGCGGGGGGAGGGAGTGCGATGGCGGCCGGCGGTGGCGGCGGCGGAGGCTTTGGAGGGGGCGGGAGCAGGTGAAGGGCGGCAGGAGGCGGCGCGTACGGCGACTGCAGTCGATAGCTCCCTGGGAAGCAAAGCGAGGCAAAGCGAAGCGAAGCAATGCGAAGCAAAGGGAAGCGAAGTGAAGTGAGGCAAAGCAAAGCAATGCGAAGCAAAGCGAGGCAAAACGAGGCAAAACGAAACAAAATGAGGCAAAGCGAAGCAAGTCGGGAAGCCGCGCGCTTCTTGTTGATCGATCTTGTTCGCTTGCAGCGCTTATGCACTGAACTCACAGGAGTATTTTGTTGTCCCTTTCTGGACCTTGTTGCCTGCGAGTCAGGTGTTCAACTTTCCTACCCGACGGGATCTGATGAGATGATGCGGGATCGGGTCGCACCTGGCACTCTGTAGATGTGTTTTGCTCTTAGATGCGTTCATGCATGCCTCCTCTCATTGTTGAGGCGAGAATGGCTCAGCATGCCCTTCTCCTACTCGCGCTTGGCACGCACGGTTTGCTTGCTTGAGACCGGAGCACTCCTGGTGAATCCAATGAATGGAGAGAACGGGCAAGCAACTCGCTTCGTGTCATTTTCGTTCTTCATTCGGTGGTGACAAAAATATGCCGTGTATTTCATCTCATGTATGATCCTTTGCGAGAGTCCCTCCGGGGGACGGGATTTGAAAAGCAATTTGAAAAGCAATCGATTGATGTATGCCTAGGTAAATTGTGGACTGAAGAGCGATCGTTTTGTTCTTGAATCTGGGTGCTTCGAGAACACCCGCGGGGCCCCGCGGCCACCCCGGGGACCCCGCGAAGTGTAAAAGGTTTTGATTGTTTGAACAAAAAAAAGAAGAGAACAACGCGGATGGGCGCGATCGTTTGTTCCAACATTCGCGGGTCCCGCCTGTTCGCTTGTTTTTTATTTGTGATAAATCCTCCTGCGCGAGGTTATGTTTCCGGCATTCATGACACCACCATCATTCTTGCCACCACTACATGGGTTTTTCTCTCTAACCCTAACCGTAAGGTCTTTCTAAAAATAACTAGACGAATCTGTTCCTCTGGCCGTTTGGAAGCGTACTACAGGTGCTCGAGGCTGAAGTGATCTCGCGTGCACTACTACCGTAGGAGGGCGTGTTTGTGTTGAAGTTGGGGTGAGGGTGTGTTGTTGGTGTGTATGCAATCAAATGGATGGGAGGGGGGTCGTTGTTTGACTGTGTGGGCGTGGATGTTATTTCGTTGTGGAGAGGACTGTCGGGGTGTCCCCTCTTGTCTCTGTCTCGAAATCGCAGAACAAGGGATCTGTCTCTCGCACAAAAAGGGGTTCCGTGTAGTGTGAGCTCAGTTGCGTGTTGGATTGTTTGTTGATCTCACCGAATAGGCTGACTAGCCCGGTGTAGGGTAGCGTAGGGTAGGGATCATTTTGCACATGAGAGAGAAGAACGGCGGGCGGCAGACACCCCACCGCTGTATGCGCGTGCAGTTTTGTGGTGAAAAAAGAAAAAGAGAGGCATGTCTGTACTTGATGTCGTCCGTGGGACATGATGTGAGCAACAAACACAACGACATGTTGGCCTACATCGATAGAAACCCCATGGCGCCAGTAGAGGCCGTTTTTTCGTGTTGCGTCTGTTTTCAGACCTTTATCTTCAATGCTGTTTACTTAAGTGTTTTTTTTTTTATTTTCAGCAGATACGGGGGCCGGGGATAGAGAGATGATTGGGCGATTTTTTGTGGCACAGCAGCAGCTGTCCTTTCTGTTCTCGCGAAAGGAGTTGTGCTGGGTCAGGATTATGTGGTTTTATGTAGGTATCCCCTTTTCGTCGATGTTGGCACGGTGTCCCCCGCGAACAGAGAGGGCAACTAGCGTCGTTCCAAGCCGTGCGGGGGTGGGGTAGGGGGTCCAAAATCCGCGTCAATCCGCGTCCTGGAGGCAGTCTTTTTGCTACCCGAAGATTCTCTTGCCGCGGAGCAGAATCTGTTCGCTTGTCTGCCAAGGACAAGAAGTATGTTTGTGTCTCTTGCGTTTGTAGTCAGGTCTTCGTCACACTCGCTCACTCTACGTACGCAGTATATGTTTTGTGTGTGTGCGTGCCGACCCAGAGTTTCCCCGCTTCGTCTTCGTCTATTTATCCCGTGTCAGCGACGACAGCGGAGTGTACCGTATTTGGGTGCGCTATCTGGGGACATGAAACCCGTTTGTCGCAGCCAGGCCGTACTGCGCGAAGGCGGGGGTGGGTGCGATGAAGGAAGGGTAGTAAAGTGTTCTTGTGTTGTCTTGAGGTAGCGGTTGGTGCTCTGTCTCGGAGGGTAGGTCCAAATCAATGCAGGACGAGACGACGTTCTGACGCTAGCTATACACGTCGTCACCACATGCTGTTGATGATCATCATCGAAACGTCCCTCGTCATTGCAAGTACTTGAGCTTCCAGACAACAACTCTGGGAAACATCGCGAAGGGGGGGAGGGGGGGGGGGGGGGGGGGGGGG